GGTAAGCTGCTGCAAGAAGATTGCACAGACTGACTACAAGCAGCGGCATGACAAAGTAGCAACAATGGTGCATTGGAAGATCTGCAAGAAATATCATTTGCCTGTAAGCAAAAACTGGTGGGATCATAAAATAGAGAAAGTCATAGAAAATGATAAAATTAAACTGCTCTGGGACTTCAGAATTCAAACAGACAAGCACTTGCAACATAACACCCCAGACTTAACAATTGTCGATAAGAAAGACAAAAAAGTCTGGATAGTGGACGTGGCAGTGCCTGGAGACAGTAGAATAGACGAGAAAGAACTGGAGAAGATAACAAAATACAGAGACCTACAAATAGAAATAGAAAGACTGTGGCAAAAGCAAGCAAAGGTAGTACCAATAGTAATAGGCGCCTTGGGTGCAATCCCAAAACAACTGGAGCACCACTTGAACACCATTGGCATTGACAAATTCGCTACTAGTCAATTGCAAAAGGCGGCCTTACTAGGAACTGCTTCCATCTACGACGATATCTGTAATACCATCAAACATCCACATCTGCCTATCCCAGGTCCTGGGTAAGGACTCGATAGGTAGACAAAATGCCAAATCCAGTCTGAATATCTGGCTGACTGTGCGATGATCCATAATACTAATACTAATACTAATACTAATACTAATACTAATACTAATAATAATAATAATAATAATAATAATAATAATAATAATAATAATAATAATAATATAAAGTTGGAAGGGACCTTGGAGGTCTTCTAGTCCAATCCTTTGCTCAGGCAGGAAAGCCTATACCATTTCATACAAATGGTTGTCCAGTGTCTTCTTAAAATCTTCCAGTGTTGGAGCATTCACAACTTCTGGAGGCAGGTTGTTCCACGAATTAATTGTTCTGTCAGGAAATTTCTCTTTAGTTCTAGGTTGCTTCTCTCTTTGATTAGTTTCCACCCGTTGCTTCTTGTCCTGCCTTCAGGTGCTTTGGAAAATAGCATAGATTCATTTTTGCAAAAGAAGTTTAATGCTTTTGTAAGTATGGCTGGGTTAACATATTGTAGTCAAATATGGTTCAGTGAATATGATGTAAATGGCTATGCTCACATAGCATACTAAACCAAGTGACCCCTTTTTGGGAGTATTATACAAACCTTATCACTATAGATACTTAACAAATGTATTCTTTCTTACATGTTAAGAAACTAAGAAGTGATTTCTAGTGCAAGCCTCACACTAACCCACCTCAAAAAGAGAAAAAGGATAAAAATAATTTTAACATAAGGAGTGAAGAACTTGCTCTATATAATCCATGCCATTTTAAAACTAAACTTTCCTGCTTTTTCTGTGAGTTTGAAAATGCCTCCACACATTGAACATATTTGTATCATACTAAGGGAAACATTTGAAAAGTACATAAGTAGAATTATTGATCTTACTATTTGCAATAAGCATGTTTATGCACCTGATAAACATAGATCAACAGAAGTGCCTTTTTTCCTCAGTAACACAGCTATGCATGCCTATCAACTAACCATTGTGCATTATATGCAGTTTTGTCCTTTGTGTTAGTATTCTTTCTATAATGCAGGTGTCTAGTGTAACTGTCTATATATGTCTTTTACCTTTGTCCTTAATCTTTCATATAGTGGTGGCCATCACCATGAAGAATGCCAATGCCTCACTGGTATATTCCTTTCTCTATAAAGTGGTTGAGGTATGTAGCCTTTCTCAAACATTTAGGACACTAAGGATAAAATGTTCTTTCACACTTCAGAAGGAAAAAGGAAGTTGCCATTCCTTAACTTTTTTGCTGCATTTTCCTGTTTACTCGGATTCTGAATTCTATTCAAATCTGGGAAAATAGGTTATTTACATGCAATTCAATTATTGCTTGCCTATAATCACACAAGATGACCTTATAGGAAGGTTCCTATGTAGAGAAGGTGATCCTTCATTGACTAGGAACTGCCCAGAGTTGGTTATAAAATGAACAGCTATATAAATGTATTGAATAAAAATAAATGTGTCAGCCTTGGTCAGTTAGAAAATAAAGACCAAAGAATCCATTTTTATCAAAAATAGTTTACTAAAGCCAAGTGATTACAGTGTAGCTAAGCCAGATCTAAACTTTCATGCCCAAAGCAACTTTTCCCATCTTCCCCCCTCATTATCTCCAATTATTATCCAATTACATTTAGACAAATTGTTATGGTATTAGTTGCTGGCTTGGCAGGCTGGAAGCTGTTTCATTCCATGATGTGATCTTGGAGCAGCCGGTGGTTCTCACCGGATGGCAAGATGAATAGTTTTGATTTCCCTTATGCTAGCCCTCTCATTATCCCATCCCCAGCTCCCTTGCCCTGTTATGTATGGCAGATTGGCATCTGGTGAAGCATGGCTGACGCAACAGCATGGCAGTCAGACAATATGATAGAATCCATTTCAAAGATTAGCACCAAGGATCTGAATAAAGATAGATTAGCAGTCAAGCCCACAGCGAAAGACATTTTCGTTCACCTTCCATTCATTACTTCTCAACAATTTACAAGATATATTTTTGACTGAATATTTTAAGACATCATCAGCATGAATAACAGCTGATTAGCTAGACTAGTGAACAGTGAGGAACCTACAACTAAAGCAATTCATTATTCAAAAGTATTCTGTTTTTCTTTCAGCAACCTTCATTCTAGCAAGGATTTTCAGTTTTCTTTCACATCTACATGTAATTTATTTACTTCTAGTACAAAAGCATAGCAGAACATCCTTTACATCAGAGATCTCCAACCTTTCAGGCACCATGGGCCGGTTCTGTGGAGAGAGTGTGTGTGGACCGGAGGGCGTGTGGTTGTGTGTGCTGCCTGCATCCCATGGATGGGGCTTTGCTTGTTTGTGCGGACCGGTTGCTGGCATGTTGTGGCCCATGGACCAAGGGTTGGAGACCCCCGTTTTACATAGAGAAGCAGGCATAGTGGAATTAGAACACTCAGTTTAGTGGACGTTCTGGATAAGAGCATATCTTAACAGAAGTTTGGGGAATAGAGCTTGCAGGACCTAAGGCTAGACTGAATGGAGGTTACTTCACCCAACTTTACACTTAGCCTTTTTTAGAGTCTCCTCCCTCCCCCCGTGAATAGTTTGACCTGAGTCCTTACCTGTTATCTTTTCCCAGTTCTATGTACAAAACTGGACATTCCCGAAGAGGCACTTGAGCCAAGCAATCAGAATTCTGGAAACTTAACTACAGGTTAATAATATCTTCAATCCTTCAGTATGAAATCCATTCTATCCTTGTCAGGTTTTTTCTGAATACTTCAAGGAGCTGGAGGAAGAGAGCATCCGTGACAATTTTGTCATTGTGTATGAGCTACTGGATGAGCTAATGGACTTTGGGTTTCCTCAGACGACAGATAGTAAAATTTTGCAGGAGTAAGTAATCTGCTTACTTGTTCTTCCAGGATCTGTATGTTTTTCTGCTACTGTTCAGGATTTTAAAAACTGTACATGTTGTGGTGAAACAAAATTCCAACATGCATAAAATTCTAGGTGTTCAGTTTAGATATTCATAATTACATTTTTCAAAGATCACAGAAAGGGACTCCTAGATGACATCTGCCAGCATTTCAAATTTAAAATTAGTTTGATCCTGGAGACAATTTTTTTCTCGTATCTTTCTTGGGTTACTACATTTTAGCTTTGCCAAGTGTTCCACTTAGGTCCATCTGAACACAGATCGCCCTTGGGGGCAACATTGAAGCAAAATTTGAGGAGCTCTCCCAGTCTCTTGGCAGCAGGCCCACTCCTTCATATTTATTCTTTCAACAACAACAACAATAATAATAATAATAATAATAAACCCTTTGTTATTGCTTTTAATTTTCTTTATGGTTCTAAATTCATTTTATGCTCCAAGCTTTCTAATTCTCTTTCTGCAGTTATTCATGACTTATAGGTACCTCTCCTGGGTGATTACGCCCTATTCCATTTCCTGTAACTCTGAGTTCAGTCAAAACTCCCTATGAATCCACAATAATGTCTGCTTTGTTTTGTTATCGTTGGGGTGAAGCATTATGCAATTGAACTTCTGATATCTTACTTTCAATAAGTTCCCAATCCTCCTATTCTTCCTTTGACTTAATTCATCCCCATTTCTATCCGTGGGGTCCCATCTCCTGTTAAACAAGGTTTATTTGAAATCCTAATGTGCATGTATAACTAGGTTCTAGCTTTTTTGTCAATACCCTTCCCCTCCCTGCCTACCTGAAATGCAGTTGATATTTTGATGCTACTCCAGACAGCAAAATGTATCTGAGACAAGCTATACTGTAGTTGGATGTTTGATCAGGAAGAATTCTTTCACTGTATCATAGGTACATCACTCAGCAGGGCAACAAACTGGAGACAGCTAAATCCCGGGTTCCAGCCACTGTCACGAATGCAGTCTCTTGGAGATCGGAGGGGCTTAAATACAAGAAGAATGAGGTCTTCATTGATGTCATTGAATCTGTTAACCTGTTGGTGAGTCAGGCTTTGATTATTTGTGATAGAAGATTATATAGATCAGGTTTTTAGAAGCTTGGACATGATTGTGACAAATGCACAAAGCTATTTTGATGTGTGTAAGGTTACAAAAATAGTGAACTTTGGGTTTATGACCTGAACATGGTGACATATTTAAACACTAAGAATATACACATTACACTTTTTCAAGTACCTCAACTATCTTTATTAAATACAGGTACTCCTCAAGTTACAATTGAGCCCAAAATTTATGTTGCTGAGTAAAACATTTGTTAAGTGAGCTCTGCCCCATTTTATCACTTTTCCTGCCACAGTTGTTAAGTGAATCATTGCGTTTGTTAAGTTAGTAACATAGTTGTTAAGTGAATCTGGCTTTCACATTGACTTTGTTTGTCAGAAGGTCACAAAAGCTGAACATGTGACCCTAGGACATTGCAACCATCACAAATATGAACTAAGCATCTGAATTCTGATGCTCTAATGGTTGTAAGTGTGAAAAACAATCATAAGTCACTTTTTTCAGGGCCATTGTAACTTTGAACGGTCACTAAATGAACTGTTGTAAGTCGGGACTACTTGTAAAGTTTAATATATATAAAATAAAATCTTAGGTTATTTCATTAAGATAGCAAAACTGACATACTTGAAAAAATGTAGTCAGCATAAAATTTTATAAGGATGCCGTATGTTAAAGCAATGGTTTTAACTGAGCACTAAAAACCATGGAAAATTAGTTCCAAGAATGACCCTATGAAGCAGAGGAAGACTATCATTTTAGCAATGGACAGAAAAATGGAGAAGGATATATGATGTTATATATGTAATTTTATAATTATATAAACCTTATTAAATTTTAGAAAGAAAGATAAAACTAATAATAAACTAATATAAAGTAAGAAAGAAAAAGAAAGGAAGCAAAGAAAAGAAAACAATGCAAGAAAAGAAAAAAAGAAAAATAGAAAAGGAAAAAAGGTACAAAGAAATGGCTTCCAATATTATTTACAGCAGTTAAAATTTAGAAAGAAAGATAAAACTAATAATAAACTAATATAAAGTAAGAAAGAAAAAGAAAGGAAGCAAAGAGAAAACAAAACAATGCAAGAAAAGAAAAAAATTAAAAATAGAAAAGGAAAAAAAGTACAAAGAAATGGCTTCCGATATTATTTACAGCAGTTATAAGTACAATTTAACCTCTCTATACTTACAGTAAATAATAATAGAATAGAATAGAATAGAATAGAATAGAATAGAAGCTGGAAGGGACCTTGGAGGTCTTCTAGTCCAGCCTTCTGCTCAAGCAGGAGAACCTATACCAGTGATGGCGAACCTTTTAGAGACCGAGCGCCCAAACTGCAACTCAAAACACACTTATTTATTGCCGGGTGCCAGGTGGGCATGGCCCACTGGGTGGGCGTGGCTGTGGTGGTCATGGCAGATTGGGTGGGTGTGGCCAAGGTGGGTGTGGTCACCTCAATGTTGCTCATGGGGAGAGATGCCTGTGGGGGGTGGGCTGGGTTGGGGGAGATCCAGAGGGTCTCTGGCAGGTGGGGCGGAAGGCAGGAGGCTCGTCCTACGGGGTGAGGTGAGGCAGGGTGGGGGTGGTTGCTGCCTGACACCATCGGCCCCCGCACACAGAGGCCAGCGAGCGCATGGGGGTCGAAGGTGTCTGTCAGCAGCCACAGCCGACCGGCGCACTCTGGGGCTCCACAGCCCACCGCTAGCTGTTCAAAGAAGCCACCTCTGAGCTGGATGGCCGGCCGACAGCTGAGGAGGCGATGCAGTGGGTCATGCCAGGGAAAAGGAAAGCATGAGAGGCCAGGAGAGAGGGGGTAGGGAAACCAGCCGTGCCGGGATGCATCTGGCCATGTGGAACCTCGGCGAGTTAGCAGGAGGCTGGTTGAAGAGAGACGGTTATCATCTCCCGGGCATGGCACGCGTGCCCACAGAGAGGGCTGAGTGCCGCCTCTGACACACGTGCCATAGATTTGCCACCACTGACCTATACCATCTCAGACATGTGAATGTCCAGTCTCTTCTTAAAAATCTCCAATGATGAAGCACCCACGATTTCTGGGGGTAAGCTGTTCCACTAGTTGATTGTCCTCACTGTCAGGAAGTTTCTCCTTAGTTCCAGATTGTTTCTCTCTTTGATCAGTTTCCAACCATTGTTTCTCGTCCTTCCCTCTGGTGCTTTGGTGAATAACCTGGCCGCCTCTGCCTTGTGGCAGTCCCTCAGATACTGGAACACTGCTATCATGTCTCCCCTATTTCTTCTTTTCTTTAGACTAGCCAAACCCAAGTCCCGTAGCCATTCTTCATATGTTTTAGTCTCCAGGCCTTTGATCATCTTAGTTGCTCTTCTCTGAATTTTTTCCAAACTCTCAACATCTTTTTTGTGATATGGTGACCAAAATTGGCTGCAGTATTCCAGGTGTGGTCTTACTAGAGTTTTATAAAGCGGTAGTAATACTTTGTGTAATCTTGATTCTATGCCTCTGTTTATATAACCTAGGATTGTATTAGCTTTTTTGGTTGCTGCTGCACACAGCTGGCTCATAGTCAAGTGATCGTCCATTAGGACTCCAAGGTCCCTCTCACAGTTACTGTTTTTAAGCCAGGTGTTGCCCAATCTGTATTTGTACCTTTGGTTTTTCCTGCCTAAGTGTAAGACTTTACTTTTCTCTACATTGAAACTCATTTTGTTGGATAGGGCCCATTGTTCAAGTTTGTCAAGATCTTTTTGGATCCTGAGTTTGTCTTCTGGGGTGTTGGCTACTCCTGTCAGTTTGGTGTCATCTGCAAATTTGATGAGTTCCCTTTCAGTTCCTTCATCTAAGTAATTTATGAAGATATTTAAGAATACTGGGCCTAAAACGGAATCTTGTGGTACCCCACTGCTTACTTCTCTCCATGTGGATGTAGTGCCATTGAGGACTACTCATTGAGTACAGTTTGTTAGCCAGCTACAGATCCATCTGGTGGTGATGTTGTCTATTCCACTTTTTCCTAGCTTACCAAGGAGTAGGTTGTCGTCCACTTTGTCAAATGTCATACGGAAATTTACGTTTACTATGTCCACTGCGTTTCACTGGTCTACTAGTTTAGTTTAATGATGATGATGATGATGATGATGATGATGATGATGATGATGATGATGATGATGATGATGGAAGAGAACTTGGAAGTCATCTAGTCCAACTCCTGCTCAGGCAGGAAACCCTATACCATTTCAGACAAATGGCTGTCCAGTCTCTTTTTAAAAACTTCCAGAGTTGGAGCATTCACAGCTTCTGGAGGCAGCTTGTTCTACTGATTAATTGTTCTAACTGTCAGGAAACTTCTCCTTAGTTCTAGGTTGCTTCTCTCTTTGGTTAGTTTCCATCTGTTGCTTCTTATCTTGCCTTCAGGTGCTTTGGAGAATAGCTTGACTCCCTCTTCTTTGTGGCAACCCCTGAGATATTGGAACATTGCTATCATGTCCCCCCTCGTCCTTCTCTTCATTAAACTAGACATACCCAATTCCAGCAACCATTCCTTATATGTTTTAGCCTCCAGTCCCCTAATCCAGTGGTGTAGCATGGGTTGTCAGCACCCGGGGCAAGGCAAATAATTTGCGCCCCCTAACCCGTGGATTTTAGCACTCGAGTCTCTTCCACTAGATTAGTTAAAGAAACCCTTACCCCCTAAGCACATGTATTGTTTGTTATGAAAATACTGATGTAATTAAAGTAAAATGCATCTAAATACAAGTTTATTTTCAAACACTTTATTGAGTGCGAACATGCATTACACATTCTCCACATTTT